TACCACAGCAACAGGACCTTTCTACCAATCAAGGGACCAGCACTCTTTCAGCAAAATATTTACCTTAGAAGTGGTAAATTGCCAAATTATTGGATATATAATTATAACAATTTTTTAAAATGTGCCGAGTAATCTCTTGATCTTAAAAGTTGTAGATTGATCTAATGGAGTTTTGTAAAATGAACAAAGGGCTTGATAATTGATAATTGGCTGAGTGGTAGGAAATAAAGTAATAGTCAATGGATATTTTTCAGGCTGCAGGAAGGTTTGTAATGGAGCTCCTCAGGGGTTGGTAAAGAGTAGAGGGAGCTTTACTGTGTATCCAAACCCATGCTGTGCCTGTCCTGGGAGTAGTTGACCGAGTGCATAAATTAGAAGATGATCCAATGCACATCACTAACATCTTTTTAAATTCTTCATCCGCCTCCAATTAAAGGGTGTTCACATGGGGACTCGTATGTGACCCAGTTAGCCTGTCTTTTTGTGGGGTCTGTGGAATAATCCCTGTTCCAATCATATAGGCCACCCTCCCTCATCACCATTCCCAGTCCATCAGTGACTGTTCCTGCTCCTGTTTGGAGCTGGAAAACATCATCAGTTCTGCTTCCATTATCCATCCTTCTCCCACCTTCAACTGACTCATCAGGAATCAGTGTACCAAAGCCGACAACCATTTTGCTTGACCAGGGACCCTGAGGAAATGTTAATATGGCTCTCATAACCTTTAAGAATATCACAGAAGCTTTCCCTACAAAGTGTAGTTTTTATGTCCAGTCCTTGTGGAGATAAAGTTTTGCCTTCACATTGAGAATACCCTCCCTCATGTTGTGTGACACCATCACCGTATTCAGTTGGACAGACTTTGCACAGATCTAGCAACCAAGACTGGGCATCCATGAGGCACTGTGGGCCATCAACAGCAGCAGAATTGTACTCCAACACAATCTGTAACCTCATGGCCCAGTATATCCCCCACTCAACCATTACCATCAAACTAGGGGATCAACCCTGGCTCAATGAAAGAGGGCAAGCCGGGAGCAGCACCAGGCATATCTAAGAGTGAGGGTCAACCTGGTGAAGCTACCGAGCAGGACTACTTGTGTGCCAAGCAGCAAATGGTAAACAGAACTAATCAAACGCACAACCAATGGATCAGATTAAACTCTGCTGTCCTACCACATTGAGTCATGAATGGTGGTGGACAATTAAACAACTCACTGGAGGAGGAGACTCTACAAATATCCCCATCCTCATTGATGGAAAAGCCCAGCACATCAGTGCAAAGGTTAAGGCTGAAGCATTCAGAGCAATCTTCAGTCAGAAGTGCTGAGAGGATGATCCATCTTGGCCTCCTCCAGTGGTCCCCAGCATCACAGATACCAGTCTTCAGCCAATTCAATTCACTCCACATGATGTCAAGAAATGGCTGGAAGCAATGCAAAGCCTATGAGCCCTGACAACATTCCAGCAAATGTACTCAAAATTTGTGTCCAGAACTTGCCACTCCCTAGCCTGAGCTGTTCCAGTACAGTTACAAGATAGACATTTACCTGACAGTGTGGGAAACTGCCCAGGTATGTCCTGTACATGAGTAGGACAAATCCAATCCAGCCAATCACTGCCCCATCAGTCTATTCGCGATCATGAGTGAAATGATGGAAGGTGTCATCGACAGTGCCCTTGAGCAGCACCTGCTCAGCAATAACCTGCTCAGTGACGCCCAGTTTGGGTTCTGCCAGGGCCACTCAGCTCCTGAACTCATTACAGCCTTGGTTCAAACATGGACAGAAGAGCTGAATTCCAGAGGTGAGTGAGAGTGAGCACTTGACATCAAGGCTGCATTTGAATGAGCATGGCCTCAAGGAGCCTGAGCAAAACTGGAATCAATGGGCATCAGAGACTAATTTGCCACTGGAGTCAAACCTGGCACATAGGAAGATGGTTGTGTTGCTGGATGTCAATCATCTCGGCTCCAGGACATCTCTGCAAGAGTTCCTTAGGGGAATATCTTAGGCCCAACCATCTTCAGCTATTTAATAAATGACCATTGTGCAATGTTCTGCACCATTCAAGATTCCTCAGATACTGAAGCACCCCATGTTCAAATGCAATAAGATCTGGACATTATCCAGGTTTGGACTGACTAGTGGCAAGTAACAATCGTGTGACACAAACATCAGGTCTAATGAGATACAACCTAACCACTGCCCCTCATTATTCAATGGTGTTACAATCACTGAAACCCCCATCATCATCACCATTCTTGGGGTTGCCATTGCCATCAACTGGACTCTCCACATAAACACAGTGGCTACAAGAGCAGGTCAGAGGCCAGAAATCTTGCAGCGAGTAGCTCACCTCCTGACTCCCCACTTGCCTGGATGGGTGCAGCTCCAATAACACTCGAGAAGCTTAACACCATCCAGGACAAAGCATACTGCTAGATAATCATCACATCCACAAGCATCCACTCCCACCAACACTGATGTTCATTAGCAGCAGTGTATACCATCTACAAGATGCTCTGCAGAGGATCACTAGACAGCACCTTCTAAACCATGACCAATTGCATCCGGAAGGACAAGGGCAGCAGATACATGGGAACACCACCACCTGCAAGTTCCCCTCCAAGCCACTCCTGATCTGAAAATATATATACATTTTTTTTCTGAAGAAGGGTCCCGACACAAAACATCAGCTTTCCTGCTCCTCTGATGCTGCGTGGCCTGCTGTGTTCCTCCAGCTCCACACTGTGTAATCTCAGACTCCAGCATCGGCAGTTCTTACTATCATTGAAAATATATTGCTGTTCCTTCAGTGACGTCCTGGAATTCCCTCCCTAAGGGCATTGTGGGTCAACCTACAGCACATGGACTGCAGCAATTCAAGAAGGCAACTCAACACATCCTTCTCAAGGGCAACTAGGGACAAGCAGGAGATGCTGGCCAGCCAGCGACACCGGCATCCCATGAGTTAATACAAAAAGATCTCAGTTTAATTGCCTGCCAAGCAGATATTGAGCTGAGGAGAAAGGCAAAGAAATTTTCACTGCAGTATTGTTTAAGCCAAGGGATTTGTTTCACTTTGAATGACATTACTGTAGGATGGAAGGATATTTATATTAATACCACACCATCTACAAAACCCATGGGCATCCTTAACCCAACTGTACAAGCTACAACAAATGTAGAGACTTTATGTAAAAAATGGAGAGAGAGGGGTGGAGAGAGAGAGAGAAAGAGTCCTTTTTTTACATAACATGCATTGGAATGAGAACAGACTTAATTTAATTTTATAGCCAGAACTGAAGACTCTGGATAGGTAGCATGAAGGAAGGGGAAAGGTTGAGGTGATGGAAGTGGTGAATTTAATAGTAGCAGTGGAAGGTTATCAAATGAATTGAGGCAGTTGTTGAGGAAACTTGGTGAAAAGAAACCTCGAATCCAGACCATTTTTATATCCATTCTGGAACTATTCCAATTTAGGAGCTACTGGAGATCAGATGTAACATTTGGTGACAAGAATGGGTGCTAATATATTTCTTTACACTTGGGAACATAGAGAAGTGTCTAAACCAACAGGAGCCATTTACTGTCAACTTCATTGATTTCAAGATAGCATCCATCGGCAGTGCTCTGGTACATCACACAACCATGTAACACTCCAGAATAGATATTGAATGGCAAGGCTGCATCCTCTCCCCATTCCTTTTCCTCTGGTTGTCACCTTATCAGGTAGTAAGTGATGGTGGGTATAGATGTTGGTATCCAATGGCAACATTAACAGTTGACAGGTCAGGATTCTGCAGATGACATCACCTTGGTGGCTGAAGAATCATGCAGGCTGTGCAAAATTTGGTCGAGGCATAATCTATGAGAAGACCTGAAGAGGCCACCGCTGGGCAACAGGACCTTGTCAATCACCTCCCCTACCTAGGAAGCAACATCTCCAGGAAGGTGATGTAGAGATCAATATGCGTACAAGAATTGGCAACATGATATTGGTCTTTTGGTGACTCCACTTGGTATAGGTCAGAAGTCACATGACACCAGGTTATAGTCCAACAAGTTTATTTGAAATCACAAACTTTCAGAGCACTGCTCCTTCTTCAGGTATGTCATTCCACCTAACAAAGTAGCAGTGCTCTGAAAGCTTGTGATTTCAAATAAATATGTTGGACTATAACCTGGTGTCATGTGACTTCTGATTTGTCCACCCCAGTCCAACAGCGGCACCTCCACATCAAGTCCACATGGTCTAGGGATCCAACACCATCAACATTATCAATACTACCATGAAGCCATGACACAACATGCTAATTTAGTTCCAACCACAATTCATTCAGTGAGATATGGAAGAGAACAGCAAATGTAACATTATGTTTGTGTTCTTCCACTCATGTTTTCTATGTAAGATCTTGCATATTGCGTGGAAGGACAATTTCACCAATGAAGAGGTGCTACACAGCACTAGTAAGATTCTAAAGGTGATGTACAAAATTTCTACAAGGAATACGTGGCAAACTGCTGCCTCAGGTAAGCATTGCCTTTCCCATCTACATAACCCTTCAGGTCTCTACCCCCCCATGCTGAGTGCCAGCTGCATGTTTCTAGGCCAACCCATTTTCATATTTGCCACTCAAGAGTTAAAATCCCAATTGCAATCACGTAGATCAAGCATAGCTGTCAATCTGCACACAGCAGGATCGCACAATTAGCAAATAAGTAGCAAAGTGGTAACTTTCAACTGACATCTGTCTGCCCTCAGCCAAGATTTTGGTTTTTGACAAATTTTGAGAAAGACGCTGATGGGAATAATGATGGGAAGATAATTAGTTTGTTATTTAATGGACTAAGATATATTTATCTAAGTAGGTAACCAGCAGCATACCAAACCAGTCTATACAGCTAAAAGAGAACCATAGGCTGCATTTGGAATATTGTGAGCAGTTTTGGGTCCTTTATCTAAGGAACAATGTGCTTGTGTTGAAACGGGTCCAGAGGAGGTTTACAAGAATGATCCCAAGGGCTGGAGGGCTTTTCATATGTGCAGTGGTTTAGAAGGATGAGGCATGATCTCATTGAAACTTACAGAATACTAAGACGTATGGATAGAATGGATGTGGAGAAGATGTTTCCACAAGTAGAAGAGACTAGGACCCGAGGGCACAGCCTCGGAGTGAAGGCATGACCCTTTAGACCTGAGATGAGGAGGAATTTCTTCAGCCAGAGAGTGGTTAATCTGTGAAACTCGTTGCTGCAGAGGGCTGTGGAGGCCAAGTCATTGAGTGCATTTAAGACAGAGATAGGTTCTTGATTGGTAAAGGGATCAAAAGATCACAGGGAGAAGATAGGAGAATGGGGTTGAGAAATATATCAGCCATTATTGAATGGTGGAGCAGACTTGACAGGCCGAATGGCCCAATTTTGCTCCAAGGTGTTACGCTCTTATGGAGCTCCTGGGGCAATAAAGCAATTGCTGAGGTTGGTTGAAGAGATTCTTAAACAACAGAAGAATGGAAAGGGTTGCATCAAGAACTGTTCACGTTATAGAAATCAACAATAGGCAACACAGGATTAATGAATCAGATTTTCTCTGGGATAGTTACTGATGGGAAAGCAATGGTGGCCCAGTCAGTGACACTCAAATCCCATGAACAAATAAAAGAAAGGAAGTTAGAAGAAAATTTGATAACTGGTCAATGGTCTGATGAGGAAAAGAGCACAAGAGAGAAAAAGGAGAACTGTATGGAAAGGCTCCGGTAGATAATCATACTGGAGATTAAGGGAAAGCTGGGTATTGTATAACAAATATTCTGCTCTGGTTCTCAAAGTAGAAATGAAACAAGGTCTCAAGGATATTGAGGAATGAATGAGTGGCAACCTGGACAGAACGATCAAAAAATTAAGATAATCTATGTGTAACATGGGTCTTAAGGTATTTGACAAGGTCCCATATGTCTGACTGGTCAAAAAAGTAAAGGCTTATGGGAAACAGGTTAAAGTGTCAAATTGGATCCAAAATTGGCTTAGAAATAGAAAATAAAGAGTAATGGTCAATGGTTGTCCTTGTGAATGGAAAGCTGTTTCAAGTGGTGTCACACAGGGCTGTGTTGGGACCCCTGCTGTTATTTTTTATATATTAACAATTTGGATTTGAACATGGGGTCACAATTGGGAAATCTGCAGATGACGCAAAGACTGGTTGTGTAATGGATAGTATAGAGAATGGCTGTAAGCTCCAAAATGATACAGGTGGTTGGTGGAGTGGGCAGGAAAGTGGCAGATGGAGTTTAACTCTGATAAGTATCAGGTAATGCATTTAGGGGGGTCAAATAGTAAAAGAGAATACACAATAAATTGGATTATTATAAATTGAGAAGGGTAGATGAAGCGAGAGATCTAGGTATGCAATTGCACAGGCCCCTAGAGATTGCAGTACAGGTAGATAAGTTTGTAACGAAGGCATATGGAATGCTCTCCTTCATTGGCAGAAGTATAGAATACAAAAGTAGGGATGTGATGATGAAACTGTGTAAGACACTGGTGAGGCCACACCTGGAGCATTGTGTGCAGTTCTGGTCACCACATTACAGGAAAGATGTAATTGCTCTGGAGAGAGTGCAGAGAAGATTTGCTGGAATATTGTCTGGGCTAGAGAATTGTAGCTACGAGGAGAGATTGGAGAGGTTGGGGTTGTTTTCCTTGGAACAGGGAAGGCTGTGGGGCAACATGATTGAGGTAAAAAAATTGAGGGGTAGAGATAGAATAGAGAGGGGACCTGTTTCTTCTGGCAAGAAGTTCAAAAAGCAGGAGTCAGAGATTCAAGCGAAGTGGCAGAAGGATTGGAGGGGGTGTGAGGAAAAACCTTTTTATGCAGAGCATGGTGGGTATCTGGAATTTGCTGCCTGAGTTGTTGATGGAGGTGGAGATCCTAAACTCTTTATTTTAGAAAAAATACCTGGATCTGCACCTTAAATGCTGTAAGCTGCAGGGCTATGGGCCATGTGCAGGAAGATGGGATTGGAAAGGGCATCTAGATGTGTTTGGATCAGGATGGACAAGATGGGCTGAATGCTCCCTTCTGTGCTATATCATTTCTATGGTTCTAAGAAGCTGGCTAATCTACATGTCTCCATTCACAAAAGGGAAAGGGATCTCAGCAACAAGTTGATTATAAATCTCATTGGAATCAGACATACCAGCAGAAGATAAGATGATTATAAATCTTACTCCTTCATTCAAAGAGGAAGGGGGTGCGTGGAGAGTATTGGGATTGTTACCTTCATGGGAAAAGTGCTAGTATCTATGAGTTCCAAAGGAGTCATACTGGACTTGAAACATTAAATCTGTTTCTCTGTCCACAGGTGCTGCACTGTTTTTATTTCAGATTTCCAGCATCTACAGTTTTACTTTGATTACATTTGTACCTATTGCTGGGGAGAGGGTGAGTGAGCACTCATCAAGGTGTAATCTGGTTGGGTCAGGTCAGCATGCCATCCTCATCGAATTATCCTAATGGAGTTCAGTTGTTTGGTTGCTAATTGAAGGGACTCACTGGACAGCAAGTATGTGAATTTTAAGAAGACATTCAACAATGGATTATAGAGACAGGATTGGAAATCCTGGATCACATACAGAAAACATCTAAATATGAGCGTTTGCAACTGGTGTGCAGATGCAAGTCTGTTCATTGGGAAACTGGGTACTGCCAGGGGCAGAGGGCACTATTTCAGAAAGTTGTACTATCAGAATCATAGCTAGCTCTTCAACCTATATCACAAAATGACATCACCCACATCTAAAGATAACAAGGTGTAGAGCTGGATGAACACAGCAGGCCAAGCAGCATCAGAGGAGCAGGAAGGCTGATGTTTCGGGCCCAGACCCTTCTTCAGAAAAAAAAAGATTACGAGAGAGTTGCAGTGGGAGAGAGATCCACTGAGGTTTTTCCGGAGGGAGGAGGGTAACTTCTTCAGGGTAGGCATCCTTAGAAGAGGCTTCGCAGTGGT